TGTGATGCAGGACAAGGGAGAACAAAAAGAACACAAACACTATAACTCAAACTCAAAGACTTTCAATTATATTCAAACTTGAACTTCTCAATACAAAAGTCTGTTTAAATAGAGAATTAAGAAAAACTGAAGAGTTGTAAATAATAAAAGCATGCATTGGAACTATAAAATAAACATAATGAGAATTGGAAATACTAATAATATTTAAAGCTAATTCAAATTTCCCATAAAAAGTAGCCATCAATCTCCATGTCTCTTAGACTTCATGCATGTGACCATTTCTCTATTATTTCCTTAATTCCTGTTCCGCATCATTCTCCCTTGGTTGTGAAAGTGATGCGTAGTATATTTGCAAACAAATAATTCTCGGAGTACGAGTTATCGATCCACAGGGAAGTGGCTGTATCAAGCACTAGTTACTAACTTATTCATTAGAGCTAATCCTAACAATTACTTAGATGATTGATTGGCATAAAATAAATAAAATAAAATAGAGGTTCAGGATTTTGAAAACAATTAGAGAGAAGTTGAGATTCATGGGATTCAAGTATTTAATCACCTAGTGCCAATTATCGTTTGCAATATTTAGTTTGGAATTAAGATTTGTGTGGGAATGCAAAGTGGAATCGAATTACTCCCGTAATCTCTATTCCTAGTGAATTTCCACTCCCATGGCTTAAACACCCAATAAGATCAAAGATCAGCATTCAATTATTCCTAATTACTACCATCTCCCGATTGGCAACAATCTAGAATAAACTTCCCCTAATAAGTTCCCCTTTCCCAAGGACCAACCATTAGGTGCAATCGTGTGTGCCCTAATTTATGCCCCAACTCCCATTGGTGACACAAACATGGCTATGAAGCTAGTAACTATGGCCATTAATTACAAGCATCAAACAATATTATCACGATTGCAACACAAGTATTAAACCCAAATAATAATATATTAAAGAAACTGAGAGCTCAAGCACATAGGTTCATAAACACTTTTACCCAAGAATCTCTAAAGAATTTAGCCAAGCATGACTAAATTATACATAGCAAATATAAATAAAGAATTACAAATCATCAAAAGAGTACAAGAATTAACCAGACGATTTTCCCAAATCTCCCTAGTCTTCTTCTTGCTTTCCAAGACAACTTGTGGCTCTTGATTTCTCTCCTTCTTGTCTCCAAGAATCTCTGAATTCTCTCGGTCCCCGTCCTCCCCTTAGGGTTGAGGAAGGAGGGATTTTATAGTGGGTACAAAGTTGAGATGAAATAGGAATCTTGTACCAAATTGGACTCAAATTCTAATTCCTATATTTAAATAAAGAAATTGTCGTCTTTAATGATATTTAGAATTTGGAAGATTCCTTGAATTTCTAACTTTTAATATGGAGATATGAGCCTTGAAATCCGCGCAATTGATATTAGGAAAAGAGATCTCGCGCTTGTATTGAATTTTGCCCAGCTGCGCCACTTTAAGCGTCTGTTTTTTTATCCGCGCCACTTTAGGCGTCTGTTTTTATCCCAGAAACTGACGCATATTCGACGCGTCGAGACTTCCTGTGCGCGAATTAATTAGCTACTGGAAAATTTCAACGTGTCGAGCCCTTGGCTCGACGCGTCGAGTCCACTGGGCCCCGAACTCATCCAAAATTGCTCCAAACTCATCCTTGAACTCCCCTTGGTCATATCTTTGACCTAAAATGGTTCAAAAACACTAACAAACACCGTAAAATATTCAAAACAAGTGCGAACCATAATTAATGATAATAGCAAGAAAAACATGTATTAAATAAGCAAAATTAAAGAGCTTAATTACTGAGATGATTCAAAATAACTATAAAAACAAGCACATATGTGATAACATCAGAAAGACTCGTCCCGAGTCGTCAAAATACAGTGGTACTTCACCGGACTTCATGCATGTAACCACAATCATTTTTTTTTTTACGAACCTTAAAATAACCATACCTCTTAGCACTCAATTTGTGAAATGTCTTCGTGAGCACAGGATCCTTATGAATAAAGACCATAATCTTCTCACCATTTCTACAAGTTTTCTTAAGCTGCCTTGTGTTAGCCCGGGCTTTATACCTTACTTCGGTAGCATCAAGTTTAGCCATAACTTCATCCTGAGCTTCAACAACACCCCTTGTTATATTTTCAAACCTTATATTTCCATAATACTTTTGCAGCAGCTGGATAAACTTAGGTTGTTTCTGATAAGCAGTCATATCTATAATCACTAATTTCTTAGTGTCCTCATAAATTTCATAGAATGGTTTGAAAGTGCTCTTACATTGAAAGGAACTCTTTTCTTCGTTGGTGTACATTAAACTTTTCACGACACAACTCAAATGCCCATCATCTTCCTTAGCAATCTCAATTTCGTCTTTGCAATCACCTTCTCTCTCCTTGATATTATCATCCTCACGATCAAAGGATCTTTGAGCCCAACCTTCATCTGAATAGTAGTCAGGTTCTTTTCTCTTCAAACATTTCCCTTGTGTGAATGGTGGAGATTGAAATTGATAAAAGTGAGCAGCATTGTTTTCATGCGTAGGTTGGCTGTTAACCTCAACAAGTGCTCTTGTAGGGGAAGGGAGTGTTTATTTGGAATAACTTCAGTCAACAGATTTTCAGCTTGAAAATTCATATTAAAAGCTTTACCTTGTGTCCACAATGGAGATGCTGACATTATTAGTTGTTCTTGAACCTTGACGACAGTCTGTGGCTTGGGAGTTTCTTGAAGTTGATTGTAGCTTGTTGGAATTTCACATGCTCTAATCCATAACATGTCATCTGCATATTTATTAACATTACAATATTTTTGAAAGAAATGCATTTGGTAATTCTGAGGCAAAAACTGTTCCATCAAAAGTTTTCTCATTTTTCTCCATGTTTTCACTGAGCATTTACCTTGTCTTTTTCTGTAGTTCTGAATAGTCTCCCACCATGACAGAGCTCTTCCACGCAGCATACTGGCAATATATTTTGCTTGCTTATTTTCAGGAACTTCTAACATACTAAGGTAGCTATCAACTTCTGAACACCAATCCAAGAACGCTTCTGTGCCAAATAGCCATTAAAAGTTGGTAGCCAATGGTATTGGAGATGTTGCCAACTTCTGGCCACATTCTTTGTTGGCAGATTCATGTCATTGATAACACATGGCGCTGCACCATTACCCTCTAGCCGAAGGCTTATGTTCGTGAGAATGCTACGAATTTCTTGAAACTCGCGATTCACATTCTCACCATGTACTTGAAAAGCTGCCCGAAGGCAATCCATTCCACGGTGACCGCCGAAGGATGGGTTGTTACCCTTGTTGTTGATACCGCCTTGTGCCATCTTGGGTCGTGACAAGTGGAGAGGGCTATGCCGCTATCTCGGTTGTCGCCTAGGAACTTGAGGCTCTGAATACCAACTGATGCAGGACAAGGGAGAACAAAAAGAACACAAACACTATAACTCAAACTCAAAGACTTTCAATTATATTCAAACTTGAACTGCTCAATACAAAAGTCTGTTTAAATAGAGAATTAAGAAAAATTGAAGATTTGTAAATAATAAAAGCATGCATTGGAACTATAAAATAAACATAATGAGAATTGGAAATACTAATAATATTTAAAGCTAATTCAAATTTCCCATAAAAAGTAGCCATCAATCTCCATGTCTCTTAGACTTCATGCATGTGACCATTTCTCTATTATTTCCTTAATTCCTGTTCCGCATCACCATGGTAGAAGAATAATATGAGAATAAAGTGGTAATTTAAATTCTAGCTAGTGTTTGGTTTCCATGAATAGAATTACTGAGAATTCCAATTCTAATGTTTGGTATACATAGGAATTGAAAGGGAATAAGTAGTATAAAGTCCAAAATGCTCATACTTATTATTATTATTATTATTATTATTATTATTATTATTATTATTATTAATCCTAAATGACCAAATTCAAATTTTGCTTTTGAAAATTTATGTAAAACGTTGTATAAATGAACCCTAGAATTGCATAATGAAAGCAATAAAATAGATAAGAGAGTTTCGAGAAAATATATTTGATTGAGATTGGCCTACTGATTGACGTTCTGTGTTAAAGAGAGAGGTCAAACATCAATTTCAGGTTAAAATTAGAGAGGGGTAATTTTGTCTCAAAGTTATTTTTTTTTCTTCCTAAAATCCATGGAATTGAAATACCTATGGGGGGCATGAGATTCTAATTTCATGAAAATGAAGGAATTTCAATCCCGCGGAATTGGAATTCCTTCCAACCAAACAAAGAAATTCCCTCCAATCAAACAAAGAAATTTGCTTGCGTTCGAAATTATGTGTGAATGAAATTGTAATTCCATCTAATCAAACGTCATGTAAATGTACATTATTTGTATATTGAAGGTATATTATCGGGAACTACATTATTTGAGTAATAAAGGTACATTATTTTGTCAATTAATGCAAATTCAATACATAAATAATGTACCTTTGCTTTAGCATATTAAAAATGTACATTTTATTCATAGTTAATAGCAAAATTTGCCAGCTTCTCATCTAGTCATCTTAACCGGGGTAGGAGAGAAATACAGGGATTTGTGTTTGAGACCTCAGCCCATTGGCATCACATGAGACTGCAGCTTTTGGAGTGATGTGGTGATCAATTACATTCATATCAATATATATAATGCTTTCCTTTTCACCACAATTCAAAGATTAGCGATTTTTCAATTCTCTGCCGATCTTGATAGTGAAATCAATATATATTATATTCTGGGTTTCCTCACTAGTCACCACCCAAAATACAATTTAAGTGGAAGATCGATATTATCATATCAATGAGTCACATATATAGCCAAGCCGGCTGCATAAATGTGACGCAACTTTGATTCTCAAAGTTTGAGTACACAAAGCGATAAAAATGATATTTAATCTATTTGGACAAACATACATAAAAGTCTTAGATCATCTTTAGGCAAACAATATAAACATCCTTCAGGCTACTAGCTTCCCCATTGTAGTGTCCATTTTAGATTTGAATTGAAGCAAATTAAAAATGGTTTTACTACTACTCTTTCTTCTACCCGTTGCTCTTATTTTGATTTACTATTATATTTTTCCCAGTTCCAAACGTATTGGGAAGGAACCTACTTGTCTACCAGGTCCTCCCGGGCTTCCAATCATTGGGAACTTGCATCAATTTGACACTGCTGAGCCCCACGTGTTCTTGTGGAAACTTTCAAAGAAATATGGCCCCTTGATGCGCATGAAACTTGGTTCCAGGGAAGTTGTAGTGATTTCCTCAGCGAGAATGGCGAAAGAGGCCTTAAAGACACACGACTTGGCGTTTTCTAGTAGGCCGTCATTTATAGGCCAGCAAAGGCTATCCTATAATGGCCTGGAAATGGCGTTTACGCCTTATGGAGAATATTGGAGAGAGATAAGAAAGATTTCTGTTCTTCATCTCTTTAGCTTCAGGAGAGTGAAGCTGTTCCAACCAATCCGGGAAGATGAAGTCTCTCGGATGATGAATCGCATATCTGAGCTTGCCTTGTCGTCTCAGCTAGTAAATCTAAGTGAGATAGTCATGTCCCTAACTTGCAACATAATTTGTAGGTCTGCTTTTGGGAAGAGTTATGATGAGGAAGGACAAGTGAAGTGGGGATTTCGCAAACTTCTTGCTGAATCTCAGGCAATGATGGTGGGAGGCTCCTTAATTGCAGATTTTTTGCCATCTTTTGGTTGGTTAGATAAACTCATTGGAAATTCTGCAAGACTTGAGAGAGTTTTCAAGATGCAGGATTCATTTCATCAACAACTCATTGATCAGCATCTTGATCCAAATAGGCCAAAATCAATGGATGGTGACATGCTTGATACTTTAATCCGTTTGAAGATGGAGAATTCATCTTCACTCAATCTCACTTGGGATCACATTAAAGCAGTTTTAATGGTAAGTTCACAGAGTTATGTTTTTGATTATATTGCTTGCTAATTTGAATGTTTCATTTTAATTTGTTTTCTTTAAAAATTCTTAATTTCTCTTAAACATCAGATTGTTTTTATTGGTGGGTCGGACACAAGTGCAGCTGTTATAGTTTGGGCCATGACAGCTCTGATTAAAGACCCGAGGGTGATGAATATAGTCCAATCAGAAATTAGGGAGCATGTAGGGAAGAAAGGCATAATAGATGAAGAAGACATTCAAGAACTGCCATATTTCAAGGCAGTTATAAAAGAAACTTTAAGGTTATATCTTCCAGCTCCGCTCCTAGTTAATCGAGAAACACTTTCAAAATGTACCATTGACGGATACGAAATCAAGCAGAACATGCTAGTAATCGTGAATGGTTGGGCCATTGCTAGGGACCCTGAGTATTGGGAGAATCCACACAAGTTCTATCCTGAAAGATTTCTTGATACTAGTGTTGACTACAAAGGACAAGACTTTGAATTCATTCCGTTCGGAGCTGGCAGGAGAATTTGTCCCGGAATAGCACTAGGGGTTGCATCGGCCGAGCTTGGACTCGCTAATCTTCTTTATGCATTTGATTGGAAACTTCCTTCTGGGCTGAAGAAAGAAGACATTGACACCAAAGTTGCGCCTGGAATTACTATGCATAAGAAGAACCCTTTGTGCCTTGTTGCCAAGAAGGTGTGATTTGTGCTTCTACATGGCTTATCAGTCTAGTGTTGTTAAAATAAAACCTTTCTTGATTAAATATTCGATCTAGTTACATTTTATCAAGTTTTTAAAATTGTTATGTCATTTATGTAATTACGTTGTAAACAGGTGAGCTAGTGTGTGAAATGTTTGTTTCACAAAATAAAATGCCATCTTCTATATATATTCATAAGGCTTAATGAGTGCTATTCATAGAAGGATTTTATCAAAAGTTTTAAACAATTAAAATGTTAAAGTATAGAATTCTGTTCATTTTTTGGAAAATGAACCAAACACAAAAAGACAGTTTTCTGTTGTGCAGCCAAACACCGGAAAGAAAAATATTTTCTGGAAAATAAGTTATTTTTCAAAAAACATTTTCCAGAAGTCATTTTCCTGTTTTCCAAACATAACTAAGATGTAAATTAAAATAAGATCTAAGCTAGGATTAGGGAGCATGCGATTCTTAGCAAGTGTTAGAGACAAATCAAGCACCCAAATATCACTTGTACAAAAATGACTATTCATATCTCTTCTAGAAAACAATATGCATATGCATCAAACACCCCAAATGTCACTACTACATAAAGTCATAAATAATCATTCACACTTGTTGTAGAAGATTATAAACGTATGTTCTATGACAAATGCATATGGCACAGACGCGTAAAGTGTTAACTTTACACATTTATTTTTAACAAGTGTATATCTTTTTAATGATAATAATAAACAATACATGTCTATTTCTAGGTTAAGAACATATATATATAGTATTTAAAAAAAAAATGTATGCTTTTTTTAATGATAATAATAAACAATACACGTCTTCCCAAACAATACATGTCTATTTCTACGGCCCCAATCCTTGTTTTATGTCTATGTCATTTTAAAAAATTTCTAAAATTAACAAAATACAAGCAACTTCTACAATAAGCGTAAGGTAAAAATAAGACAAATTAGCATTTATCACAATTAGTATTGCATATATCATGACTTTCCTATTCACACCAGTTTAACAAGGAATCGAAGACGGAAATGCCACTTAATTTGAGCATCGTTAATATGTGTAGTATTGAAATTGGGCTGAGGCATGATGATTAAGACATTAAAGCTACTAAGCTAGCATATTTGGCAAATAAATTTATGTATTACAATTAAAAAAAATATTGAAATTCAATTGCCACAATATATTTTTGTTTAACACGCACGCGCACATGTATATATATATATATATATATATATATATATATATACACACACACACTTACACGCACACATCAGAGGGTATTAGATATCTCTCCCAATTGATCAAAACAACAGAACACAACCAAATCTTGTTATAACAACTACTATCATAGAAATAAAAAACAAATGCCCACCTAATATGCACACACATCCAAACTCATATGGACAGCCAATGCACACCCAACATAGAAAGAAGAATGAAATTGACATATGCAATTGGGAATTAATGAAAAGCAAAATAGTGTGAGGACTGAGAGAATCAAAGCTAAATAATTACAATTTTTTTATAATTTAAATATTGATTGTGTGCAGGGTGGTGGAGATATATGGTACGTTGTTCAAATGATGATTAAGATATTAAAGCTACTAATAAGCTAGCATACTTTGCAATTAAATTTACTAGTATTTTCACTTGTGCATTGCACGAAATGAATTATCATAATATTTTAAAAATATTTGGATTAATATACAATTATATAATTATATAAATTATAACAATGAATATTATATAGTGCAATTGATGAAATTAATGAGTTGAATCGATTATGTTTTCTGATATTATTCTTGCTTGAATTCGAGCAAATAAGTACCCAATTATTCGTGCGATACACGTGTGATACGCATGCAATGCACGTGCGATGCCCGAAAGTTTGTAAAATTGTTATGTCATTTACATAATTACGTTGTATAACGGGTGAGCTAGCTAGTGTGGGAAATGTTGGCCTGGTTTCACAAAATTGGGGAGCATGCAATTCTTAGCAAGTGTTAGAGAGACACACATCAAACATCCAAATATCACTAGTACAAAAATGTTTGTCATTTTCTAAAATGTCTAAAATTTACAAAATACAAGCAACTTCTACAATAAACGTAAGGTAAAAATAAAACAAATTGGCATTTATCAAAATTATTACTGCATATCATGGCTTTCCTATTCACACCAGTTTAACAAGACGGAAAAGCTACCTAATTAATCCGAGCATCGTTAATATGTGTAGTATTGGTATTGGGGTAAGGCATGATTAATAAGACATTAAAGCTACTACGACAAATCGAGAGATGTAAATAAAAAACAAATGTCCAAATACATGGATCACCGGGGCATACCCTGAATACAAAAAAAAAACATAAAACCGCTAAGCAAATTAGGTGCACTACGTTGTGTCTCAAATGAACTCCATGCACGGAAATCCCCAGAGAAATGCACCAAAACCCAAAACAGCGCTGCCGGAAGACTCGAACCCTGGCTTGACGGCCCAAAGCACGCCATTTCCACCACTGAACCATACTCAACCTTTAGAACCATGGCTCAAAAAATAGAATATGGTAGTACAAAGTCTACATATGGGAGGAAGAAATACTAAAAATCCTCCGTCATTTGAGAGAATCGAACCTACACCAGACCGCTCAAATACGACCTCTTATCCCATCTAGCCACGGAGTTCACCTTGCTCAAACCATGTACCATATAACTACTTAACCACCACCGGGTCAACCCACCATTACACGGGTCGACCCGGTCTCAGCATCCAGGGTGCACCGTCCATCTTCAAAAGTCGTAGAACACAATCCCAAAACGCGTTGAATCACCAGAATACCCAAGAATCTGGAAGATACCAAAAATAGCCAACAAATTTCCATCTAACGGCCAGAGGCGGTCAACCGGAGCTCCGGCAATACTGGTTGACGTGAATCCCGACGGCACCTAGACAACAAACACGGCCACCTGGTTTCCACCGGAAAAACGCAAACACCACCGGACAGCAACTCAGTCTCCGCCAGAAAATCCACACACACTGCTTCGAATAATTCTGAAAAACATTAACCCCGGGGCCATGAACGCCGAACAGAACTACGCCGGAACTTTGTCCACCACCATTGCACCACCCAAACACAGACGGAAACACCCCAAACCGGCCGGAAAATTCGAGGACCATCGGACAGAAGACTGGGAACCCCATGACCATCTCCAATGCAATCCATATCGGAGAAAACCCATCCACACACGGGCAACAAACAGAGGCAAACACGCCGGAGACGTCCCTTTCACCGGACATAACCCCCAACGCCATAAACAACTTTAAAATCACCGATTAACAGAGGAACTCACCCGGAATAGCTCGCCGGATAATACCGCAGAAATCAGAGAACTGCCGTCGTCCATGGGTGGTGATACAGAGATCATTCAAGCACCCACAACTGCCCAGATCGCGCCCTTCCAGTCGCCGAGAAATATGGAGAGCCAGAGTATGAATCTTATGGCCGTCACCAGACTCCTGATCTGCCGGAGGAGGACACCACCGGAGCACAATACGTCAACGAACTCACCCCATGAACCACCGTAAATCGGAGCAGAGCGACCGGAATGAGACCACCGTCGTTGTACAAGTCGCCGTCGTGGTTGGGGTAAACATCGTCAACGCAAAAGCCATCGGAAAAATCCCAAAACATCATCCCGGAAATTCGTTGGCCATCGCATACGTGTTCTCGCCGGGAAACCATCGGATGTCTTCATCGATAAAGACAAAGTAATGTTTCGTCGTTATCCCAAGAGACAAAGTCAGCCGGCGGTGAATAGGTGTAGACGGCCAAGAAATCATATGAAAAACGACAAACTGTTGTCTCAAAAGCCATTGATTAATTCGAAAATCACATGAATAAAAATCGAAACATGCAAACATATTATTATGAGTTAATTCCACTTTTGATCCTACATTTATTGTGCATTGGACATATTTTGTCCGCTTTTATTAATTTTGTCACATTTTATTCAGAATTAATAAAAATTGGACACTTTTAGTCCAATAAGTTGCCGTGAAGTAGAAGGGTAATTTTGTCCTTTCATGTACAATTCTTCTATCAACCTTATTGTTTCTTGGTCTCCCAGTCAAAGTCGAGAGACCATCAGTGGTACGTGTACCCAGTTTCTCCTTTGTGATATCCATCTTCGGACCTCTTTGACAACAATCCAAATAGAATCTCTTCAGCAACCATTGTTCTCCGTCTCATTGTATCTGCAATTTATATCAGACAAATTAAACCCAACACCCTATATATCTGCAATATCTGCAATAAGTCTTTTGAAGATTTTCAAATTAGACATACTCCTTGAAAATGCACCAGTTACCAGAGTATTAAAACAGCCTCTTAATTTTTAATTACTCACTAATTTACTCAGTTTGAAACAAATTATTTCATATTTTGCAGTGTAAATAAAATAGTTTATTTCTTGATTCTCGATAAGGAGCTCAAACTCTATACCAATATAAGTTATGTTCAAGAAATATGACTTAAATTTGACAAAATTAACATAAATATTGGCATCAAAATTTGAACGGTTTAGAATAAAAATGATGGAAATTTGCTTTAAATTGAGTAAATTAGTTCGAAAAATGTTTAGAAGAAAACTACGCGTACCTGTTTATAGAGGGAGGAACGAGGACTGAGGTCTTGACAAAGGATGCTACTGATGGAAATGTGGGGGACTTCCAGAAGCTTTGAGAGCCTCTCGGCGTATAGGTGCTTCATCTTGAAACCAATAAACACCCATTACACTCCTCTTAGAGGAACCCACTCCTGAGTGTCTTGATTCACGGCCTCCGCCAACGGCCTATCTTGGTGTAAACTCGGCGGCGAATAGCGGTCTAGCTTGATCGCCGTAGTGGTGGTGGTAGACTGGTAGTATTCAGAATCGAGCTACGGCAGAGCAGAGGAAGATGTGGAATCATGTCGTGAATGGAGGGTGTGGAGTAGGCGGAGAAGTGGTGGCGCAGCGGTGGCCACGTGGCTGAGGAGGGCGGCGAGGGGTTTTGGATGGCAGATAACGGCCATGTTAGGGACCTACGCAGTGGATGAGAGTTTGCTGCTGTCTCCTTCTCAAGGATAATT